CCTCCTCGTACTGCTCACGCAGCAGGTCACAGTCGTGCCGGGCTGACTGCAGCGCGTGGGCCAGGGCATTCTTTGCCTGGGGAGGGGCGGGCACCAGGAGGCGGGCTCAGCTTTCTCTAGAGTACAACCCCGGTCTGTGCCCACATGCCCACTCTAGTTTCTCCATCCATCCTCCCTGGTACCTCATCTATCTCTAAATCCCCTGTGGACCCGAAACAGTCTACTGAGGATTGATAACAAAGCGTGTCCATATAGCATTGTACAGTTTACACAATGTGCCATGCCCACCACTCCTTGCCCCTCACTGCAGCAGGCATTATCGACCTCGTCCTCATTTATAGGGGCTCAGAGAGGTTAGGTGGTTCTCCCAAGATTACCAAGCTCTAAGGGGAAAGTTAGGATTGAAGCCCTGGACTTTTTAAAAGGTCATATTCTCCCCCACCCTTTTTCTTTAAAAAATTTTTTAAAATGTTTATTTTCGAGAGAAAGAGACAGAGTACGAGTAGGGGAGGGCTAGAGAGAGAGGGAGACACAGATTCTGAAGCAGGCTCCAGGCTCTGTCAGCACAGAGCCTGACGCATGGCTTGAACCTACAGACCACAAGACCATGACCTGAGCTAAAGTCAGACACTTAACTGAATGGGCCACCCAGGCACCCCTAGTTTCTTTCTCTAGTTTTCAGATTGCCCTGCTAATCTCAGGACCTATTTGTACGGTTTCTGTATCCTATACTTGTGCCCAGCCAAGGCAATCATTCCTCCTTAGTTTTTTCCTCTTCCCCACTGCCTCACTTTCCCCAACCCAGACACCCTTTACCCCATGCCCCTCTCCCTCCAGAGATGGCAGCAGAAAGGCAGAGGGCCTCAGCCTGGGCAACAGATTTAGGAAGCATGTGGTAGGCTCTGGGCTATTATTCCTTTTGGAAAATGGGAGAACAATGGAAAAACAGCAAGCCTCATTCTTGGGACCTGCTTGCTTCTTGCCTGGACCAAGTGGCCTGAGTCTAGGCCTCACCTTAACTTCCTCCTCCAGCTGCCTCTTGAGGTCCTCCAGCTGCTGGGTATAGGTGAGCTTGCCTCGGGTCAGCTGGGAGATCAGAGCCTCCTTCTCATCCAGCTGCCGGGACAGCTCACCTGGAGAAGAGCCAAGGCACACTCAACTCTGGAAGGTCAGCCACCTTTCTATCTCCTCACAACCCCTCCCCTAACTGTTAGGCACCATTCTCTGAAGATATGTGTGTGTGTGTGTGTGTGTGTGCGTGTGTGTGTACATGTATGTGAGTGTCTCCCCAAGGCTGAGTGGCTTAGGAAGTGGGGGGATATGGAGAGGGGGCTTACCATTCTCGGTCTGTAGCTTGGCCCGCTGGCTAGTGAGTTCATTGACAGAACGCTGGGTCTCCTCGGCCTTGCTTCGGTGCTCATTCATCTGGTCTTCCAGGGTCCGGCACATCTTCTCCAGGTTAGCCTGAGGGAGGAAGGGAAGTGGATATGGTGGATGAAGGGTTGTAAGAGGTACATTTACAGAAGTGAAGAGGAGGGGTATGGAAAGGAGAGGATGGGAGAACAGGGTGGAAGAAGGGAAGTAGGAAACGACATCAGGGAAGAAAGGAGACATGCACGGAAAGTGGAGGTAGGTGGAGGGAATTGGGTGCAAGGAAGGTGAGTGGGCACCTTGGCCTTGATGATCTGCTCCATGTTGGAGGTGACATCATCCAGCTCCAGCTTGAACTCACTCTTCTCCTTCTCCAGCTTCTG